ACAATATCGGATTAACAAAGTATCAAAAGATATATGCCGAATTTGTTAGCAATTTAAAAAGTAAATATTTCTGGTTAAGAAAACTTTTGGCAACCAAAATAATCAGCTTGATCATATGAGCATCAATCCAAATTACTCAAATATTTTTTAGTTTTTTAATTGCATTTATATAAGATATATATAATGAAGGAGATACTTTCATTATCACACAGTTCTTTCAATCTTTTCCATATTAGCTTGCCATACATGGATGAAGTATGCGTGATATCTTGCTCAGTTAATAACTTCGCAGAAGTTAACTTTCCACTTTCGACTCCATCTAAATGTGATTTATATTACAACCTGCGAATCTGATGACAATTTGGATAAATCTGAACAATGATTTTGAAATAGACTACATAAACCTAATTTTATTTACGAGTGAGTCAATTTTAATTGACTTTTTTTAAATATCTAACTTGTATTTCTTTATAGCTAAAGTCTTAATTAATTTCAAAGAGAGAAAAAAATGCTTTTATTACAGAAATACATACAATCAGTCACAGTAGTGCTATTTTTCTGGCAATTTCAGTTATTTCACTGGACTTACAATGATAATCAGTTATTTTCTGAATTAAAATGAAAGAAACTTCCGTACTTGGAAACCCAAGTCTTCGCATTGCATACAATGGTCGGAAAACAGCAGTTTCAAGAAGGCATCTTGCAGAATCTTTATTAGATTCATGAGGCATTACCAAATGCTTAAATATTCATTTTAGATATTCGACATTGCGCAAACAAAATGAATTATACTGAACTCAAATAAAGCTCAGAAAACCAGAATTAAGTTTCTGAGAGAATTTTATGCATTTGGAAATTTTCTAATGTAATTTTAAAATTTGTTATTTCGAACAACAAAAATCTTGATTTGCTGAACAATTTGAAAGCAAATTTTTGATCGCACACGAACCAATCAATTTTTTAATTACTATATAATTACTCATGTAGCAATATTATTTTATTCCAGTACTGAGTATAAGAAATCTTAAGTAACAAACATAATTCTCATGTCATCATAATACTATAAAAAATTTTTAATTCTACCATTCTTTAGTTTTGAATGAATAAAACTGAATTAGTGAAACTATGAAATTAATCATAAAACTGAAATCATTTAAATACGCTTACTTGACTACAGCATTTAAATACACATAAAACAAATAAACTCACAATAATCACAGGAATAGAATGAGATCAAGTCTTAATCGGCATTGTTCAGTAATTCTCTAATTCTCTGGGACATAATTCATTTTAACGGGCCGTGATGTGAATGAATACCTGCGTGAGGTCATTGTGTGCACGCTTAGTACGCTATTAATTCCTGTGAACTTTGCATTTTCACATGTCTTAGAGTAGTGCGCAAGAATATGGTGTTGTTTTCGGGCATATAAATGTGTGGAGTACAGAATAAAGTATGAGTATATAATTTTACTACAGAAATTATGCGTGCCTTGTCGAGATTGCTAATTGAATTAAATATGGTTGTTTTTTATAAAAAAAGCAGTGAATGTAACTTACGCAGTATTAATTTGTGTGTAAAGAGGTAGTTTCAAAAATCAAAATCAAAATCAAAAAACATTTGCAAGAGATGAAGAACATCAGGCAGTAGGCAAGGACGATTTGTGAAGAAAAAAATGAGACGAAGGACTTGGAATGAATGATTATAGCGTTATGCTGTGCTAGTTTGAGTTGCTTTTGTCTTTTAGAATAGGTGGATATGTATTCATAATGATTTGGATCGGTTTTACTTCTTATCTATTATGATTACAAATCTTTTACCAAAAAATCCAAATTTAGTTTGTTGTTACAAAGTTTATGAAAGATTACTCCAAGTACGAGGCCAGTTAAATTTTACAGTTGTTTCAGCATTAGAAATACGATGAACAATTTACTCATTACGTTGTGGGAGTAGATGAAGTGCACAAGTGGAAAATTGCATCTACATCTAAGAAGATGTAGTCTCGAGCTATATATAAGACCTAGTCTTAGATTTAGTGCTATAAAACCACTGGTTGTTTTTCGTATTTGCAGTATTAATACTTTTTGTTGTGTAGAAAGACAAGTTGCTAATCGAAATAAGTTGTCGATTAATCATTAATTTTAGATGAAATGGAAAATTTAAGGCAAGTTTATTTTCAGGTATTAATTTGTTTGATATCGGTTTTCTACAATATATCATTCATTATTTGGAGAACTCTCATAGGTACCTTTTTTTTACTTTTAAATAACAAATATCTTTTTTGGTCTCCATTGTTTTATTACGTTCTGGTTGTCTACTATTAGAATTTTTATTTTTACTCGTTGAAGTCATTTTCAATTTGTTGGTACTCACATTTCTTGTTCTATACAAAATTATACTTTTTGTTCAGGGACATCAGTTCATTCCAGTTTATCTCTTGTCTTTCTGGAATAAAAAAAGGTGTTTCAAGTAACTCACACACGAAATATATTCCTAAACCACAATGAACACACAATTTTCAGTAATATCCACTCGATTATCGAGCTATTTGTCGATGAGAGTAAGTTTGTCGTCTACCGCTTATTGGAAGTCATATATAGTCAATATCATAATTAAAATAGTTATCAATACTGCTATAAAAAATTAAAGAGTTGCAGGAGCAGGTATTGACATAATATTAGGAAATTAATTCTTCATTGTTTGTTAGTTCGTTTTGATATCATAAAGCATTCTGACCTAAAAATTTAAACATATTAAGGTTTATTAATCAAATGTTTTATTATTCTTTCAACTTGTATATCTTACTCGGTTATATGATAGTTTCTTTAATTAATTATTGTTTTTATTCAGAATCATGTGCACAAACCTCTTATCAAATTCACTGGTGCTCGCTTTCCACATCCTCAGTCTAACCCGTAAATGTTATTCGATTTATGACATTTTGTTTTCTAATCACTACATCTATGAAAACTCATTATTTTGTTTTGTTGTGAGTTATTTCTAAGCAATTTTTCTTTGCAGACCAGGTCCTCCATCATCAGTAACTGAGTCGCCTCATAAATCAGCAGCTGGTTAGTCCTGTCGGTACTTTTTCTACGATAATTACTTGGATTTAAATTATCATCTCTTTTAAAGCATTTCGACGTTTCATTTTAAATTAAAGCGTTCAAATTAAATTTATGGACTTGAAATTTATTGCAATAAACTTGTGTTACTTTTGCTAAATTTCAGTTAACAGTTATGGCTTCTGTTGATTTCGTATATTTTATATGACACTATTGTTCTGGATTTAATTAGAAAGAGTTGAGCAGAACTGAAGACCTTCATAATTTCTTCAAGACATCTGTCTCAGAAATTAATCAGGAAATAGTGATATGCAGAATCCCCCTATTTTAGTAAATTATAGAGGCTATTTTCAAGCTTGATGTAAAATATGTCTTCAGAAGACTTGTCGACAACTGTTAAAAGTACAGTTTCACCAATTGGAGCAAATAGAAATGAATATATAACCACTAATCTTCGTCGTAAACCTCTCTCTGAAAAAGAGTGTCGTGCCATTAATGCAAGTTCATTACTATTTTATATTTGTATAGATAAATTCATATTCAGAGTTTTGGGGTACCCATAGTATTGCTCTCCAATAGTCTTGAATATATGAGCCTTGGCCTCAAAAATTGCTATTTTAAATTCGGAAAGTAGCAGGACTTATTTTATTCTATATTTGTTTTTGGATTCTAAAAGGTTGATATATATAAATGCTTAATTTGATGTTTGACTCTATTGCAATCTCTAGATTTATTTTTATTCAATCAATCCGTTTTTTTTCTCTATGAGGTATGATATTTCTGATTTTTATCATTACATTAGCTATATAAATTTCTTAGAATAATGCGCTTGCTTAATGTTTTAGCGTGGTAGTGCTTATGCGATGGATGATGAATAATCGAGTATCTTGTCATTTGAATATCTCAAAGTTTCGAATTATAGGCCTGATTTATTGGTTTAAAAAATTTATTTGCTAATCTTTCATGTTTGCTCAATATTTTGCAGAAGTTATTGCAATAAGATAAAAATGTTGCTATTTGTGACGTTTGTGTGATTCTCTGAAAAACAGAGTTTTCTTGGGTCTCTATTATGGATTCTCAGATTCTAAAATGCATATCTTATTCTCGCACGGTATTATTTATGCCCTAGTCTTTTTTTTGTTGCTAAAGCGGTTCTAATGTCTTGGAATTGAATATTTCGTTTTAGAAAACACAAGTATATGAATAGGTCAATTTTCTGTACAAGACTTATATTTACGTTAAAATTTGTTTTTTTTAACCAGCCTTCTTTCTAAAGTCGCTTTTGAAGCACTGTGTGCTCCACTTTAATTGGTTTTTTATTGTATTGTAATAGTTAAATGAAGATTTAATCGTCATTGTTGTGTTTTTATTCTTTATTTTGCTAGGTCAATTCATACCAAAATTTGATTGCGAAAGGTCATTCGGCTTCGCAATTTTTTCATCAATCCTGTATTGTCTTAGAACTGTGGGGCGTGATCATTTTATTCTTCTTATATGTGTGTATTTTGAGTATTTAGATTAGTACATGGTTATTTGATTTTGCTGCTTTCTAGTACAGCGGAAGTTAATTCTGTTTATTTTCATATTTTTGTTTAATATAGTAATGCTAGCGTGTGCACTAAATTTTCTCACGAGGGTTTGTAGATTTTTACTAAAGATGGGCTTTTAATTACGTTTCTATAAAAGGCCAGTTTCAACAGCCATACTGCAGAAGAGTTATGCTCATTACAAATATACGGTGGTGCAACTTGTTGAGATGCAAAAGTAACATTTGCAAGGCAGTTTACTGTAGCTCGTTTGCGACTCAGCTGGACTTGCCAAAACCGACTCCAACCAGCAAACTTGCTGCATTCAGAAAGGTGATATCTACAAATGTCCATGTATTGTAGTTTGTAACATCCTTACATGGTAGACTTATGGTTCAACTGGATTGGAAGTGTTCTCATTGACTTCGTGGGATTTTTTTCGAATAATTGATGACGCTCTTTCTTTCTTTCAGGGTTCAGGTGGGAGATGCAGTTTCTCCGGGCATGTGGTAACCGTGTTTGGCTGCACTGGCAGGTTAGGAAAATTGTTAGTAAATCGACTTGCCAAAGAAGGTCATCAAATTATTATTCCGAGTCGGCAAGAACCGTACTACACTAGGCAGTTAAAAGTTTGTTTGTTTTTTTTCGATCTTTTGAAAGATGAATGAAGTGCAAAATCTTGATTTTCGTGTAGAATAGTTAACTGACTTCAGCTTCATATTAATTTTAGTAGTGAAGAATTACATGATGGAACAACAAATATGAGCTTCACTTATTTTTTTAATTAATTTTATAGACCTAGATATTCAGATCTTTGGAGAACTTGGACAAGTTCTTTTGTTGCCATTCGAACTGAAAGATGAGGAAAGCATTCGACGAGCCATTCGTTATAGTAATGTGGTCGTTAATTTAATTGGTACTAGAAATGAGACGAAAAATTATTCGTTTGAGCAGACTCATGTCGAAGGAGCACAACGAATTGCACGTATTGCAAAAGAAATGGGTGTGCAGAGGTCAGTCAATGCTTTTTTTGAAGTTGTATTCATTAATTTAGCTTCAGCTCAATGTAAAAATAGAACTTGCAATTAGTCCTCATAACTTTTCCCATTTTTTCTAGACTCATTCATATGTCAGCAATGAATGCAACTAAGAATACTCCACCAACTTTGTTTAATAAACCGTCTCAGTTCCTTCGAACTAAAGGACTGGGAGAGGAAGTTGTGCGTGAGGAGTTTCCGAACGCTACGATCATAAGGTATACATTGTTTTTTTCATTACTGTAATTTTAAAAAAGTCTAAAAATCCATTTAGTTCTGTTGAAGATTCATCTGTTTCTGATTTGCTGTGCTATTCGAAGCAATATTAATATTGCATCTCCAAAATATTAATTTCGATTCGCGTGTCTAAGTGATATTTATTCATCTACTTTGAAATAAATTGTAGTTAAACTTAGTTTTGATATAGCCTGTAGTGATTTTATATTATTATGTTTTCAGACCTTCGGTGATGTATGGAGGTAATTACGATGCCTTCATTAATTATTTCTTGACATATCATCGTATTCCACACAGAAGTTTAGTTTATGTTTACAGGAAAGGAGAGCACACTTTTAAAATGCCAATCTGGGTAAAGTTTGCTTTTAATTTTCGAAATATAAATTTCAGTTTTTTTTGACAACTTTCTTCCTAAAAATACCATCCCCATTTCAAGATTTTTTGTTTTTGCCAGGACTCAATCATATCGTCTATTTAGTAGTTTTAAATCTTTCATTTTTTCAAGTTTCATCAAATCTGGCAAGCTTCAAATTGTAGGTCATGATAAACAGTTCAGCATGAAAATACATTCTAGCAGTCATCAAATTTGCTTATCAGATGCAGTGGTTTTTAAATTCAAGGGTTACTTATTACTTTTATGTAGAGAAATGCCATTTGTATTTCATTCGTGAATAATTACAGGAAATCAGTTGCAGGTAGGTGATGTATCGAAGGGTGTTGAAAAAACTATTGTCGACCCCCATTCTGTCGGTAAGACTTATGAATTTGTTGGTCCGCATTGTTACAAGTTATCAGAATTGATTGATTATATGTATGAACGAGCTCATCTTTCTTCTCGATTTCCGAATCGACGATATCGTCGCCGAAATTTAAATTATTTATTCAGGTATAATTAGAGTAAGTTATTTTAAAATAAAATATGAGGGACCAAAATGTGATATAAAACAATGCGTAACATATGAATTCTCTCAAATAGTAAGACAGCACATTTTAAATGAATCTTGTTATAATAATACGTTATGTAACGTTTTCGAAATCGGTGGGGCACGAAGTATGCTTTTTTTTTAATTTTTTTGGGGAGTTTTTCACTGATAAAAGCAAGCTTTGCATTGCGACTTCATATTCTGTCATTGTTGTAAAATGGCTGAGGTGGAAAAGTATGTGATCAAATTATTGAATTATTACAGGGCTTATGTAGCTGGTCTGGAGCTATTTTATAAAGCGTTTCGCAACCCATCACCACTCAATTTTGAATGGATTCGAGTGGTTGAGTGCACAAGTGATGTCCTAACTGGTTGTCTATCACTTCAGGATCTTGGAGTCACAAGGCTTGCGGAGTTCGAATTGACTGGTGGAAGGCATGCTTACTTGTAAGCCATATTACTCTATATTATAAAAAACGCATTTTTGGACTGCAGTCTTATTTTTGAGTAGTTCTTGGTTTATTGTTTATAATTGCATCTGATGTAGACAAAAATAGTCGCAATATGTCAAATGTAATTTTAAAAAACTGTATTAGTTTTTTTCTAGTCCATCTGCACTCGCATGAATATTTAATTTAGGAATTTTTTTTCTTTTCCGCTTTAGAAAGCAAGAAAATTTTATGAGAAATGAAGTAGACAGTTTATGAAATTAATAAAACAGTGGTTGACGTGGAGAAAATGGGATATTGTTTAACATTATAGATGCTAGAGTATTGTTTATAATGTACTCTGGGAAACCACATACTTTGAAATGTTGATTTCTCGTCGAGCATTAAATTGTTGTAGCTGTGTGAATCATTACGATGAACCTAACATCACGGAACCATATCCTTTGCCGCTCCGATCGCCACCTTTATGTGCAGATATAAAACAGAATCATATGGATGAAATCGTTACGGAATCAAAGCCGTTCACGATAAGCAGCATTGTTTAGCTTGCTATCGCATTAAAATGCCTTGTGCAATAATGAACTTGTGTATCTTAATTCAGAAGATTATCACTTCTCTTAAAAGGCATCACTAATTCTATTATTATGAAATGTATGATATGAATTTCGTTTTTTATCTATGATCAGTTTTGTTAGAGTTGTTTTTCCATGTTTCGAATGCTTAGTATGAGTACTGTAGCGGCATTTATATCTGTTCACAATTTTCACGCAATGATTTAAATTAATTGCCGTTGATCGTTACTGTAGATTTGAACTTCTCTGATTTTTCATGGTATTAATTTTTCAATTTATCGTTTACTTGTATTTTTATATTAATTTAAAGGATTCGAACGTATTCAAATAAATAAACTCTTAAATTTCGTGCCGTCTTTGCTAGTTTGTGTGATCGTTCATCCTTTTTATTGCTACAAACTATTTGTGATTTTATGATTAAATCTTGATTTATAGTTAAATAAAATAATTTTATCTCAAAATGGATTATTATAGGAAAAGTGTGAGTAAATAAAATAATTTTATCTCAAAATGGATTATTATAGGAAAAGAGTGAGTTGTTCGCAAAGTTTTCGAAATCTGAATGTGTATAATAAAGTTTGGGGATGATCTTGTGGGGGCATGCATCATTTGCTTTTAATTAGTGAGAATGAAAGAACACCAATTTTGGCCTTATAAGTTGCTTTTGTACAGTTTGCTAAGAAGGTTAAAACACCAAGTGCTAGTACCTTGTCGGGGTGCCTGTTCGGTATTTTCTTTGCATGATTCGTTGCGTCGGTGTGTATTCGTGATTACTTATCAACGGCAAACTGTGGTTATGCAGATTGGTATTGCTGTTAATGTTTTAATCATGTAACTTTTATAGTTGGAAAGAAATTTGTGAGAAACAAATTGGACAATTCTTTTGCGGGTTTGTGATGGTAAGGGAATGAAAGCGCGGAAACAGAGATGAAAAAGGGAAAAGTAACCAAATCTAGTGCATGGTTCGTTCTTCTTTTTTAAAATGGTATAGGTCTTGAAAACTTTTAGTGGTACTGAAACATTAGAATTCGTGAACATCATTTAAGCAGTTCGTGTAGTAACTTCTCGTTTCATCGAAAATTTTTTAAGATCGTAAATTGAGAGTACGTTAATTTCTCATTACTTCAATCTGTGGTTGAAATTTCAGTGAAACTTCTTGTACTAAAAATTCATTGTCGCTGGCCATGGTCCGTTTAATTGACAAGGTGTTGAGAGGCTCTAATGAAGAAGTGCGTACACAAACAGATATTATCTCTAGACTTTATGGCGAATCGGTTCGTTATCTTGTTTTGTGTCTTTTCTATTAATTACTTCGCAGAAATCTCTAGCTACTATGTTTGTGGTGTTTTAATAACAAAATAACTGTTGAATTGCTAATAATGTTCTTGTTTCGCTCCAGCTGAAGCTTGAACCGGGATTTGATGAGAACAGTTTTGCGTTTCATTACGAACAAATACTTAGAAATGAATTAATTCAGGTTGCAAAAAATCCTTCGATTTACCGCTTTTTGGTGAAAAAGGTAGAAACGGTTGTAAATGTTACTTCAGATTCTCGAAATGAGGAAACTCAGTCAACAGACGAAAATCTAATTAATTTGCTAAAAGCTATTGATGTTAGTTCATTTTCCATTGTTCCTGCATTTCCTTTCTGTTTCCTTGCATAATATAGTAATGGGCGCAATTTCTTAAACTTAACAATTCGTTTAATTTTAAAAGTCAAAGATTATGCTTGAATTAGGCATTTAAAATTGATGTTTATTTGTTATTAAAAATAACATGGGGAAGTTGCATTAAATTGTGCAAAAATAGTTTTTGATGCTCAAGTTGCTATGGAATGAATCAGCATATGAAGTATTGAAGATTATGACAAATATTCCTGAAATTTGGTCATCAAGTAAAAACCAAGATATTTTTTTGAAATTTGCAAATTTATTTGTAGGTAAAGTAATCATGAGATCTTTTCTAGATGTGCCGCGTGGAATTAACTACTCATTTTCTTTGCCAGTTCCTGCTAAATTTCATTACCTGCTGTAAAAGCTCTGGTATGTTTTTCTTCTGACTGTTTCTTCATGAATTATTCCTAGCGTCATTCATGTGCCAGATTCAGAACTCTGCTGAGAAAACATTAGAGTTGTTTCAAGTATTTTGTAAATATTTTTTAATTGTTAATATTCTGAAATGAATATAGCCAGCTAAAACTTGTATAATTTAGTTTTCAGGGCGTTTTTTAAGCTTATTGTTTTTTGTTTTGTTTCACATTAGGAGTAACTGTATTCTTATTAGTGTCCATAAAACTTTTGAACTCAAACTCTGTTTGTTTATTCAAGCCTAGTTTGTTCCTGTTTAATCTTTGTTATTTTAAATTTAGCAAATTTCATGTTCTTTACTTGCAACTGGTATCAAGATAAAGTGTTATATTTGTGGACACTGATTTTAATTGGCTCTAGCATCAACAACGCGTCAACGACATATCATACGTTTGAATGGAACAAATTTGCTTATTAAGCGTTTGATGTTATACATGAAAGGATCAGAGTATTGTCCCAATGTTGATGTTATTTGTTCTATACTCATTCTTTTATTTGCTAGAGGTAACTGGTAATATGTAAACTTTCATCCTCTTGATTAAGGCAAACTTAATAAGTCTGAAATTAGTTTACACTTTCTTGTATAGAAATTTGAAATTCTAGATAAGCTGTTTTGTTTGAAAGCTCGATTATGTGGTTTAATCTCGCTATTTCAAAAGAATTTGTTATCAATTGCGAAGGATCGAAGGATATCTGTTATGCAAGTATGTTGCTGCTCCATTCGCTCAGGTAAATTGTTGATTTGTTAGGTATTCATTATATGATTAGTATAAGCTGCAAGAACTGCAGCATTTTTTTTTGTATGGACGATATGTTGTAATGAAATAAAAAATAAATTATTAAAAAATTTGTTACCGATACTTTGATATTCTTAATAATATTTCTCGTATTTGGCTCTTCGAGGCAAAAAGTCGATAGTTTGTAATTCTTCAGTTTTATATACTAAATAGACAGTCAAATCTGTAGTGATTTGAGCCCTTAACTGTTACTGAGTGAAAAATAGCACTTTGAGACACATGTGTTTTTAACTAACATATAAATATACGAACAAGTGTTAGAAAGTAATAATTTTTGCTGAAAATCGAAAAATATTTTTGCCCTTTTAGTGCCTAATGCGCGAATATTTGGTAAAAATGAAAATCTTATGAGCGATTTGATTAAAGCGATTGTTGATTTTTCGGATGCAGAAATTGTGGTTCGCCTCATGGAAATACTTTACATCATCATAAAATTCAGTATGTTGATTTTTTATAAATTGTAGATTTTCACATTCTTTTATTGTTGTGAGTAGAATTGCTATGAGGTTCATTACCCTCATATATTCCATTTTTAATTCCTTCGATTATAAAATTCTGTTTCGTGCGCTATATTCTGAATACTTCATTTTACTCGTAAACATTACAAGTATTTATACTTCAAGTCTCACACATTTTTGCAGAAAATAGTGTGATAATGACTATACTGGAATCCAACGATATTTTGAATATTTTGACACGACAGTTTAAGAAATATTTCAAACCACGTTTCTGTTCATCGGAGTTCGTTGACTTGGAAATTTGCTTGTTCACATTGGCATCGCTTAGGAATTTAACGAAATTAAGTGATTGTTTTTTTCATATTTACTTATTTGATATATTTGAACATCCATTCCACAATAGTGAAAAGTAGCTAATAGGAAAATATTTGTTAGTTTTCTTGTTTATATTCAAATTTTAGTTTAATACTTCATTTGTTTAATTAATAAGTAAGTGTGTTATCAATACGTTTGAAGTTTAGGACGTAATCGAGAGCGATTAAAAGAAACTGGCGCACTACAAATTTTTTATTCGGCTATCTCGACTATTTACAATTATGAAGAATATGGCAGTGATTTTGCGTCAAAAAAGTATTACATGAAAGTACAGGTAATGTCAGATTTTTAACTTATGAATTAACTATGATATATTCATTATTATTAACCTATTGGTTTTTCACTTTAATATTATCTTTCGTGAGAGACATATTAATAAGTTAAAAATCGAAAAAATCAAACCCACATTCATAAGAACTAATTTTTGACCTCTCTACTTCCTTAAAAAAAAATCAAAAAACAACAAATATATATTTAAAAAAGTACAATGAATCTAAAAAATCAAAAAAACAAAAAAGTAATCTTCCAAACTCAGTTCATGAGAAATGTTGTTCAGCAAAAAGACTTTAATAAGCATTTGTGGGAATACTTATATCACTTCCATTCGAATTCTTGTAATATCATTTGTACTTTTTTATTTATTTTCTCGAAAATATGAAAGTTACAAATTGAGTTTTTTTTTGATAATTTCTTAGAGGCTCTGTTTCAAACTCCTTTTCATTTTTTCTTATTTTTACCTTCATGTATTATTCTATAATTGAAAACGATAGCTCTTTTTGTCGTTTTGCAATGGTAAAACACCAGTCTTGTCATATTTCTCGGATTTCCTCACGTAGATGTGAATGAATTTTTTTCTTGAGAGTTTTTAAGTCCTTTATTTCCTATCAATTGACTCTGGAAATGTCCAAAATTGATATATGGTACCTTCATCTCTAGTTAACAAAATATGTAAGATTACTTGTTAATCCTCCGCTTTACAGATATATAAATATAAATATTTATTTGAACATTGGTCGAAGATTATTGCATTCGAAGTAAGATTATTTTTCAGAAATTGACAATCATAAATATTATGTTGCCATCTGTTTTTAGTTTTATTGTATAAAGCTTCATATCATTACCACAAATAACCATCCATGAATTATTTTCATCTTTCTCTAGCCATTTATTGAATTATACTAAATGCGAGTATTTAATTTATAAATTGCTTCTTTTGTTGTTATGAGACAAATGTGAGCTTATTTTCATTCTTTCGAAGACTGTTTTTACTTAAAAATGAAAAGTATAAAATGTGAAAACAGTTGGTTGTAAAATTTTTTTTTTATAGTTCATCATTTTTAACAACTTTTAGAATCAATGTTTATTATTTCTCATAATCATATACCATTTCTTCTGAATCAATTGTAATTTATCTGTTGTCCTATGAATGCCAGATTTCATTGTTATCACTTGATCCTTCTAATCTTTATCGATTCCCTCATTTACTCCTTCCAACCTGGAGATGATCTCATTTTCTGCCTTTTATTTTTTCTCTTATTAAGTTTTTGTTTAATTTTGAATTATTGTTTTGACTGTTTCAAATTTTGAAACTCAAATACATTTATTTAAACGTTAGTTTAGTCGCTCACCAAGATCATAAACTAGTAAATGCACACTTACTTTAACGTTTAAATAAATGTATTTGATCTCATGAACATATGTTCTATGAAGAAGAGTGCTTTCTTTAAAAAACATTCGAAAAATAAATTTTATGTTTTTAAGCCAATTTCTTCTTGATTTTGCTCACAGTATTTTGAATACTATTAAACAATTTAAAAAATATAATTTCTTTTAAAAACGTCCATTGTGATTTCTTTCCTTAAAAAGCACTACCGGTTGCATTCATTACTATTCTACATTTTATGTCTGCCTCTAGAAATGTTCTCAATTCTGTGAACCCAAATAAACAAAAATCCTGAGCATTAAAATTACTAATTATCAAAAATGATGAAGCAAAATCCAGAACTTAGCATTTTAGCGGAAGTCACTGCCAAAATTCAAATTTCTTTTGTTCTGTCATTTGGCTATTTTAATTAATGAAATGCTTCATTTGACTTTATTTTTAATATTCAGTTTTATATTTAAATTCAAAAATATGATGAATATTTGAGATTTCAGGGATTCTTTCAAAAATTTGTTTTTTAAATGCAATTTCTTATAGTTTTAAGGAATTTTGCCAAGTCATCTATTGATCCGCAGTAGTTCATTTCAGGATTCACTTTATGCATTGTGTATGAGTTGTTTACCTTGCCGTGTATTTTCATTACCTTCATCAACACCATCGCCAATTAGTTTTCCACTTCCGACGACAGGGAAATTCAATTCAGATTTACCCAGGTATTAACAGTTATAAATTAAATCTTTAGAATTAATGCAGTTTTTTTTAATTCAGGATTGCAGTGTGTAATGAGTTGTGATTGCACACAGGAACAGTGATCTGATCGTTTTATGTTTTGAAATGTGTTGCTAAACAGCATCATTTTTTCAGATTACTTGAAAAAAAAATAGACAAAAACGTTTTGCCTATTCCCACAATGCAAGATGATGAGAACATAGGAAGTAGTGGTTCGTTTCGTTTTTTCGTTTTTACTATGAGTAACGTATATATATATATATATATACGTATATATTTAACTACGAATAACGTATATATAATATAAGAAATGGTAAAGGTTATTTTCGTTTTCGCTTCGTGAAGTCCATAACGAGTATCGAAGAAGATCCTTTCGAGCGATCTTGAGAACAATAGATTGAATAAATGCCTCGACGTGATCAAATATACTGATCTCCTTCCCATAGCGTTTGTGAAAGTCCGTTACAATTCCATCCCAAGTCATCCCATACGGAATTATTTTGGTCCTGCATTTCATCTCTGACCCAAGCTTATTAGCAAGTAGGTCATATTTTCTCTTTTTCTTGGTCTCGACTGCTGTTAACCTATCCTGACTAGTGATGCCAAGCTTTATCAGGATTACTTCACGTCGCTTCTTATCGTGTATCATCCAGTCTATCCGCACATATCTTTGTAGCTGTTCTTACTCGCTTACCAACTCTGATATTCATGTTCTCATTTGGGACGATATCTTGAATAGAATGGCTTGCATGTGCGGGAATGCTTTCAACAGTAATTTTTTCAGATCAAAAAGATACAGCGCAGCATTTCACTATATCTTCTAGTATGGTCGTGGCATAACATTCTTTGACACTGCGTTGCTAGATGATCCACCATCTTCACACGTTCCCTGCACTGTTGGCACATGACTTTCTCAGCTCAAAACATATTTATGTCTTGGAGGTTACAGTATCGTGCTTCATCTTGCGGGGTAATCTTTCCGTATCGTAGCCATTTTGATAAATCAACTATGGACGAGATCGTCCGCATCTTGTATAGCTTTGCGTGGTGAGTTTTCTTTTTTATTTCGCTATGCAAGAATGCCTTTTGAGCTGCTAATACGTTTTCGATAGTACAATTTTCTGCGAGGCTGTGCCTAGTCTTTAGATAGGGCACGACAACTGCTAAATACTTATTATGAGTTTTCTCGTGCCCTTCTGGGGTAGATATGGGCGCGGTATCTGCAAGAATATTATGTAGTTAGAGAAGCATAAGCTCATTCCTCTGCCCAACATAATGAAGTCCACGTCCTGCTTGTTCCTACAGTCCTTCCAAGCATGCATGTTGCTTGTGAATACCGTATTTGTATAGTAACTGTCTGATATCGTGGTTTATAGCTTTGAAGTCCACTGACTCTAGTTTAAGCACTCCGATATCAACGCTTTCACTCTCGCCGTTCTGTGAAAATGTCAAGAGTGGCTTTTAGCACTTTTCTTGGCTACCTGCTTTGTTAAATTTCGATCCCACGGACGAGTGTTTCAAGCGTGATCATTCTGCTGGCACCGAGCTTCGGTACACTGGCAGATATACTCTCTCACCCTTCACATAGGTTTCTCCAACCTCATCTGTTTTTCCATTGTTTTCATTTGGATTCCACATGCGGATTTTTTGCTTTTATTCTCCATTTTATCCTTCTTGAACACAGCCGCTCATCTGCTACATATATGCACATGTATATTTATAATGTTTATGTAATGTTGTTACAGAAAGGAAATGATCCGTTAAGTATTTTTGAGACAATTATTACAGTTTCAGTTTGGTTCCGATAAACTGCTTGTCACTATTATTCAGGGACGTAAAGGAAATGATGTGCCATTAAAATAAGGCATTGGCTATTGTTTACATCAGAATTTACAGATGATGATGCTGATGATGATGCTGATGATGATGAACGCGAATCATTATTCACTTTAGCGCCTGTAGATCATGATGAATATGGAGAATCTCTAACTTTCGATCACTTAAAATCTATTTCTGCAAAGTCTTCCGATTCTCAAAAGAACAAGTCATCCGTTGATTATTCTCAGTTTTTCATGGAATATGATCATGGAACTCCATCCGTAATTTCATCAACAAGATGCCAGAATCTAGACTTTACTGACTTGTTGAAAAAAGCTGTTAAGGTGAATATGATGATTAACTTGCAGTTTTTTTTAATAAATGATATGAAACCGATTTTCGAGGTTTTAAAATTGTTTTTAACATACTTAGAAAATCGCGTTTTTTATTTTATCATGGAATTGTAGAAAATAAAATCACCGACAGTTTTTATAAAAATCGCTTATCCTACAATGATTCTTCCTACGGATTTATGCTCATTTTTACAACCAATGGCGAAAATTGATACAAAGCGGTATGTGCTCTTGTTTTTGAAAATTATTCATGATGAACTTAAATATGAAAAGTTTTTCATTTTTCAGGGATGCAAAATTTTTAATGTTTTTTGTAAATTTTGATTTAATGTGCTTTTCTTCCAGGGATTTATTGTCAAAAGAAATGGCTTATTTGCAAGAGCAGTCTACTTTTAATGCTCGCGTTGTTTATGATTTAGATAGCTTGGTTTGTTCTGGAGATCAGTTGCCAGAATCTCTAAAAGTACTCGATAATGATGATCATAACCGGTATTTGCTAAATAAATGTTCATTGTAGAAATTTCAGTAAATCTCTTTTTTGTTACTGGAATACAATTTTATGGCATCTACAGAAACGTAGTACAGTACCCAGCTTTATTAAGAAAAATGAACATATGTAGAAAAAATGTACTTTGTTCATTTTTTTATTCCAGAGTTGGAATAATGGTTTCCGAGGATCACTTATTATTTGAAAGTCGATTTGAGGGTGCTAATTTGAGACGAGCTATCCAGGTATCAGATCAATAGCTTACCTAATACCGCCGTTTTCATGTGCTAAAGAAACGCTATTTTTGTAGAATATAGTTTGTTTTAGATAAGTAAATGGCATTATCAGTTGATACTATCACCAGACATCAATCAGATAAAGCCTCACTATCAGTGGTTTTATTTTGAAGTATCGAATAATGAAGCACACGTTGATTATATGTTTGAAATTGTAAACTGTTTCAAGAAGATCTCCATGTTTAATAATGGTAGAGCTTTCAAGCCTGTTGGAATAAGATTTTTCTCAGTGATACTGTAAATCTTGAATGCTATTGATATTCTGCTGTTAAAAAATACTTCATTTATTTAAATTTTAGTAGAATAGTTTTAAATGCCAAAATAATTTCATTTTAGGCATGCAGCCAGTACTATTCTCGGTAACAGAGGCTTGCCGTGGAAATCCTGGTTGGATACGTTCGGGTTCGGAAATCTGTTATTGTCGCAATACATTTGTTAATAGCTTTGCTGAGAAGGGGAAAGATCCGACTGTTCCAAAGTATTTGAATATCTTTAAAATTATAAGTGGGCTGTCTTTTGATACAGCTTTTTCATAATTCTTATGTTTGATTTAAACTTTCATTACTTAGTGAAGTACCACATAACAATCGTATTTTTACTGTTTTTGATTTTTTCAACAATCAAAATCTGTTGAAAAGTTGTGAGGATGAATTTTACCATTTAGAGTTATTTAGAAGCTTGTTTAGAACTCTATTGTTTAACTAATCACTTGTTCACTATACCAGTAAGTGAATTTTTCATTCCAGTATGTATTTATCAGTAGTCATATTTTGAGAACATTGAATACAAAGGCTACTTTTTTCTGAAAAATCAAATGATAGGATACAAAAATTTGGTACTATCGAGAAAATGCAAAGTTTTTCATCTTCAGAAAGAGTTTTCAAATTATTATTCTTATGTTTTCAGAAATTACTTCTCTCTGCGTTTCACCATCAAATTCATACATCGTGCTGACGTTTGCTATATTGCATATCATTTCCCATATACATATTCCATGCTTCGGGTAACCTATGTTGCATCATTAAAATTTAAATGATTTAGCAAAAAAACGTGGAAACCAAAACTTATATATTCTTTGAATCTTTTTTAGCCGTATATGGCAAGTTTTCCTATGGATTCTTTTGTTGCTTTAAGCAATCCCCGTTTTTTTTCTGATATAGTTTGCTTCAAAAGTATGTAAAAGTGACGGCAATAAACAAAAATGAGCTGGAAGAGAAAAATAAGTACGTAAAATTTAGAAGATTTTAGAAGCATTACGAAAAGCATATTAAAAAGATAAATTACATAAGTCAGTGAATTCAGTTGCTTGCATGAAAACTAGATCAAGATATCTATCATTATATGATGATAGTAAGACCATTACATCATATGAAAATACTGACCTCAAGTACTTTAATTTCATATTAACTGACATGAGTTATACTAACAGTTATATTGCAGATTCTTGTGCATTTTTATTTAGGCAATTTTAGGCTACTTTAGAATGGTATTTAGCAAAAATTAATGAAAAACGGCTATATATTCGTTATGATGAGCTTTGTACTTCATTGGCTGGAAATAGTGTATTTCTTGTTACTGTGACTGCAAGTGGTAGCAAGGAGCAATTAGCTAATCGTGAGCTTATACTGATATCTGCTAGAGTCCATCCTGGTGAAAACAATTCTAGTTGGATTATGCACGGTACATTATTTTTATCTTATGTAGGTAAATTGACTTCAGCTTCATATGTAAGTAAATTGACTTTAATTTTAGATTAAGTTTGAATGTAGAGAAAAAAACCTTGAAAGCGCTTCGTTTGAAATGATCTCTCATTTCATATTGCATTTAACTGAATATACAGCATAGGGACGCTGTTTATATCTTTAAATTTATAATATTTATCAAAGTATATATTTTCCAGATTTATGTTTTCTGTATTATATGAGCTGCTTTTTAAAGCTCTTCAAATAAAGGAGACGTCGAAAGAAAAGAACTAGCAAATAATTAGCTTAATTCTCTTCATATCAATAGTTTAGTAATTCCATTCTCATGTGGTGCAATTGAACTGAAATTTGAGCAGTTGAAATTTTACAGATTATATAAGATCGTGCTTATTGATGTCGTGATTGAATAGTAATAGTTCATTCAGGTTCTGATTCTTGATTGTTGAAGGTATAATGAATTTCTTGGTGAGCGATAAGAGAGAAGCTGTTGAACTTCGTGATCAGTTTGTATTCAAATTGATTCCGATGCTGAATGTTGATGGTGTAGTAAATGGATCGCATCGCTGCAGTCTAGCTGGTATAGATTTAAATCGTACTTGGAATCAGCCTTCACCAGTGTTGCATCCTCCAATTTATCACAGCAAAGCCATTGTGGAATATATGGTAAATTTTTTGCTTCAAGTATGAGTCTGACTAGATATACATATAATTAACATACCTAAATATTTAAATATCGTTTTTAAATATCTAAATATTTAAATATGTATCGTTTAAATTTGATTCGTCGAAAATTGATACATTAACTATTTGTCACTACGTTTGTAATACATTTTATGAAACATGGATGTAATTCTTTTATTTGAGGAAAAAATATTAATTTCAGGTTAATGTATTGCAAAAAAAACCTTTTTTATATGTCGATTTACATGGTCATTCCAAGCGTTTCAATGTGTTTCTTTATGGTAACAATCCTGAGGAATCTTGGTGTATCGAAGATCATTCACTCCCAGGAAAATCTGATTTTATGTCACTCCCGAGACTTTTGAAAAATGTAGCGTAAATATAACTTGCTAAATAAGAAAGTGTTTTTTTTCGTCGGTTTTTTTCTCGTTTTAGCTTGATTTTGTCTTTTTTATACGTTGATTTTGGTGGATATTCTAAAATTCAAAAAGAATAAATCAGTGAATTATACATTTATCACTCGGATCTACTTAAAATTGAAGTTTATCTCCTACCGAAAACTTATGTTTTGTGGCTGAAATTTAACAAAATGGATTTTGCAGTCTTGCGGGTATTTTTCTTTGTCTAGCTGTCGGTTTAACATAACTAAAACCAAAGAATCGTCATCCCGTGTAGCACTTTGGCGAGAATATGGTATCACTCGATCGTACACAATGGAATCTACGTACTGCGGCTTCGATGCCGGTCCTTTGAAAGGATATCAGGTTAATACTATTGTGGTGTTATCTTGTTTTGGTATCTTATATAGTCCTATTTGACAAAAAATATTTCAAAATGTGAAAAAATTTTTGTTTTTAATTTGAAAAAATGCAAGTAAAAAAGAATCTGATTAAGATATAAGAGCAAAGTTGGGGAAATGAAATATTGAAATTTGAAAACTTTATTTAAGACTATGCAATTGACAGTATATTATATTTTTTTAGATAAATATCTTGCATATGTTGGAAATGGGAGCAATTTTGTGTGAGGCCTGTCGGCATCTGCAGCATCATATGCCAGTACAAGATGATGAAGAATCCGAGTAATGATGCAGTCTACTAGAATTGAAGGTTCTACTTGAATTGTACTATTTCATTAACTAAAAATCATTGAATTTAATTCTGAACGTTCATTCAGTCAAGAATATGAATACTTTTCGATTGAGTCCATAACAGAATATATTTGAGCAATTGTTGTGATACTTTCATTTTTAAGCATACAAAATCTGGGTATAAATGTATAAAACGCGCGAACGCACCTCTCTGATCTTGAACATTTGTGCACTGATTTTATTATAAATCATTATAACTTGTTTGATAATTTATGAACTCTAATCTTTTTCCACTTAATTTTTGATTTAATTTAATTTTCGATTTCATTTGAGTTGCCTCTGAATAGAATCCATCAGAGAAAGTCTTGTGGACAGGTTTTATTTAGTGAAAGTGTGTATTATATCTTCGATCAGTTCTCATATATTTCAAATAGTTTTGTGTCATTGTGATTTCTCAGTCAGACTCAAGTAAATAACAAATTGTTATGTAACATAATTTTGATTTTTTTGGTGCTGTAACTGCCATATCGAACTTTTGAGCTTTTTCGATACCTTTTAATTCAGTTTGGCAATTACTGAAGTTGTATTCTATTGTTACAAGGTCAAGAGATATCATCTATACATAATCTTTATTGTTGCAATCAGTGATTTCATGAGGGTGAAGGAACAAGAATTTCACTGAAGCAGATTTCAAGTTTTGTAAAAATAATACACCAAAATCATCATATTTTATCCTTAATTCCATGCATTTGTGGTATTAATTTGAATTTTATGTGATGATGCATAATTATTATCTTATTTTGTAGTGATTGAGGATAAATAATCCTACTACATTTTTGAACACTTTGATTCAGTAAGTTTGGTTTGTTATGGTGAGTATTTTGATTTTTCTCATTGGATTTTAGATATTTACTATTTCTCCATGCCATTATAGTAGCAAGATATGGCTAAAACAATATAATAATTAGTATAGAATTAAGATAACTACTAGTTGGAAGATTAGCATGCATTAAGCGGCGGTATTTTGCTGGTTAAGAATAGCTGAGTTGAGTGATGCTTTTGTGAGCATCAATTAATGTTTGCATGAAAAGCTTCTATTATTAATAGCTAGAAATTCAAAAACAAATGGTTTTCAATAATTAATGGAAATTTCTATCGTTTGATCGAATCAAAAATTTATTTAATGTACCATGAAGTATTTTTTTTATACGAAAGTGACGTAATATTGGGATAATGATCTTTTGGTAATGTCTTTTTCTTTACTAAAATAATATGCGTTAACAAATTTTATAAACTATTGGATATTGCAAACAGGTACTATATTTAATATTTCGCGCTATTTTAAACTCATTTACTGCTTAGAACGTTTCGGAATCAGCTTAATGAACAGATTTTCATTAATTGTTGTACTTAGGCCATATGGTAAATTCGCGGTAGCCTTCACTAATGATGCTTTCAAACAGGTACTATACTTAATCCACTGGTAAATAAAAGCTTTGGACGTTGTCTTTCTAATTTCTGGTGCTTTTATGGATGTGAAATTTAATTATAAAAATTAATTAGACAAAAAAACCGAAATCAAATAGCCTCTGAGTTTATTAACTTCTTTGTGTCGTCTATTATTTACTGAAAATATGTTCAAGGAATAAAACGCATAGAATTACACAATAACGATATATATATATATATCGTTATTCATGTAAGGCGGAAAAGTAAACTAATCTCCGTACTTTTTCTTTCATAAGTACTTGAATGAAGTGTATCTCAAGCAATTGAAGTATATATTCAGCTTAATAATGGTAATTAATATAAATGATAAGTAAACGTTATATATTGAGTTGCGTAAGTAATTATTGCAGTTATTAGCAGCATTGTACTTCATAGCTAGTACAGGAGTATTCAGCAAATAGTGAAGCTAGAAATACTGAAGTTAGTAAACTTCTACAAATTTTTTCGGTCAGAAACGCATTTTGAGGGCTGTTTTTTGTTTTTTGAAATGGCTAACTACGATATAATAATTTACTGATTTTAAAATATATGTTTTTGCAATAGAAAGTGGAAGTAAAGTATTTCAATTCAAGTAACTGAAAGCAGTAAATCGGAATTACAGTAATAATAAAAATAAGATTGCCATTTTGTTGACCAAAATTTCGTTCTTTTACAATTTGTTCTTTCTCTACTTAATTTACTGTCTATTTAGGAATCCATTAAGGCATTTGCCAAAGCAAAATCACAAATTGCCATTTTAAAAGGTAGTAGAGTAGTATTTGTCTATTTCCTCTCAAAATTTCTTGCTGTTTCTGAGCCACAGTAATCATTAGTTGTTGAAACTTAGTTTACCGCAAGTTGAGGTTAATACTTCTGAACGAAAGCCTTGTAAAATGTGCATCTTTTTTTTGTTATTATCGAAGGAGATAATTGAATTAGCGTTTTGCTCTTAAATGGTTTTCATTCTCAGCAATTTCATCCAATCTCTCTCCTCCTTCATTTTCAATAAGCCAATGACGTTTAGACTCCACCTCCTGATGATGTACCGTACTAAAAGTGATGATGGCAATTAGGGTAGTGGTGATGAAGTTGATTAAGGTTGCTAAATGATGGATGAGTTGTGTGGTAACAGCGCTCTATTAACTTCTAACACAACAATTCATAATCATAACCATCATCTTCACTCAATTAGCTCACTTATACTACGAAATGGTGGGTGACAATATATTTTAATTATCCCTTTTCTCTGTGTAATCATTTTTTTTGGGCATTTGTTATTAATTGTTTTATTACTTTAACTTCTTCAATAAATTACCTTATTAATTTTGTTCTATTTTGTCCTTTTTCCGACTTTTCTTTGTTTTTTTGTGCATAAGTATATCATTTCTGTTAATAAATCGTCATGAAACTAGTATTACAAATAAAACTTCCTTAAATTCTGCTATGACCTTTTATGCTACGTTTGACTACTTTTGTTCATCGACTAGTTGTCTGAGAATATGTTTCTACATCAGAGCATGTGTGATCTCATAATCTATAGTGTGAAACTGTAATTACTGTATGTAATTACAAGCTACCAATACTGATCATTCTTGAGGCAAAAAGTAGTTGTTCTTCAAGGTTGTGATTTTTTAATAGTACTTAAATATTTAAAAGTAAATACTGTTCAAATAAAGTGATATATAAAATAAGTAGCACGTTTTGTGGTTAAAAAGGCTTTTAAGCATTTAAGATTTTAATTATTCACCAATTAAGTGATGCGTACCTTTTAGTGCACGTGAAAAAGCGCCAATGTAATTTTTGTTTGGTGAATGTCAGTAAAAATTTTTTTGTCGTAAAAGATTTTTCATTAACACTTCTATAGCAAGTCATTTTATGAAACTGTACATATTTTGATCTGATGTAATGAAAATTTGTCGAAAACTCAAACTCTACCTTATCTTCTACTGTTTAAATAAAGTAATGTATGCTGTTTTAAAATTCATATCAACGTTTGTGCAGCTTATTTTTAGTAGTACGATTTCTGCTTGAGATTTTTACGAATCTGTTTTATCTATCATTTTGCTTTCACGTTACACGTTGCCATTTAAAATCTTTAGTTTGATATTTTCACTGATATCATGGTCTAAATTTGTATGAAAGACATTGAAATTGGACCGAAATTTTGTCCTTGCATGACGAACTCATTTGTGAGCTGATTTAGGTGGCAAAAAAGTTTGAAGGTAATCATATTACAATGAATACAAAAATCATTTTGACATTTCAATAAGTGAATGAACATTTAGATTTACGACAAGATTCTGTAAAGATTCCGGATTTGTTAACAGCTCCAACTGTGCCGACAGCTCATCAACAATGCGTTGAAAGAAATAAACGTCGTGAAAAGTAAATCCATTTAAAATATTCACAAAAAATTAAGTCATGAAGATGTTCGAAGTCTTAACTTTCTTGTTTTTTAATATGAGCTTTTCTTAATTTTTATATAAAAAATTTTTTAAATAATGAAAACTGCCTCGCAAGGCACTAAAACTTTCAGATTAAAATAAAAATGATTGTACCGTATCTTTTTTTCATAAACGTTCTGAATTGATGTACACCCTTAATTGAAATATCTTTTGCAGTAACTATTTTCAAATAATCCTGATAAAAAATCATATCGAAAATTAAATGGCTTATACACCTGTAATCGTATCTTCTAATTATCAGTGCTCAGTTGAATTACTAATTAAATTCATCTTCTTCCTTTGTTTTTTTCGTAAAGATTGTACTGATTTGATTGTAAATGTAAACTTCTTTCATTCAAAAAGATTGTTTAACAACAGCATTTTTTAAGTCGAGTATACATTGCGTTTACAATACGTGCTTAATTGTAGCCAATAAATTAGTTGAGCTTGTAAATACATTTTTTATTAATTTAAAAATTAGTCAAACTATAATTCCATTTCTAATGTGGTAGAAAACTTAAATGTAGTGATTTGTTAACGTTCAACAAACTGTCATCTAATCTTCTTCAAAAACTACAGTACAGCCATTTGTAATTGAACTGAATTGTTTGAAAATTATTGCCTGTCTATTTTTGTCGTAGAAGAAATTTAAAGAATAAGTTCTAACCTTTGAAAAAAATGAATTCAGTAGAAGTGATAAAACTTAAAAATTTCACTCAAATTAATTGCAGCAAAGTAGTGTGCAATTTTCATTTCAGGGATTTAAAGAAGCAACGGCGTAATCGGACTACATTTACTACATTTCAACTTCACGAACTTGAACAAGCATTCGAGAAGTGCCATTATCCGGATGTCTATGCTAGGGAAGTAAGAAATTCGAATTTGTCATATGTTTTGAAAAGTTGCTATAATTTTGCATTTATGCAAAATTTATTTTGAATCAATTCTAGTTTTCAGCTTAAAGCGTTAATTTTTGCGCACTGATGGAAAGATACTGTCATTATTTATTTATAATATAAATGAGTAATACTTTGAATTTTTATCTCTCTTTTAAATAAAATTATAAAATTTCAAAGTTTTCATATTATGTGCTTACTTTTTCTAGATAGCTTCAAGAAATAATTAGCTTTAACATTTTATTTTTTTTAATCTTTTTGCTGTGAAATAAAGTTTTGCAAAAACTTATATCTTGATCAAATGATATTTTTTATGAATTTTTATGTTTTTTCTTGTAAATTCATTATTTGTGCTTTCTGGTTTAATCAGATAACCATTGTCTCTGAAAACTTTTTTTCAACAAATAACAAATTTGTAGCAGTAACATTTGTTGGATTTAAGTTTAAAATTGATAAAGTATTTATATTTCAGTTGTTGGCACAAAAGGTGAAACTTCCCGAAGTTCGTGTTCAGGTCAAAATTAAAGCAAATTTCGTGCTTTTCCAATTCATTTTTTTTTTCGTTTTAATGATTTATAAAAGTATAAATAAAATATTACTTATCATTCATTCAAAATGCAGAAATTTTACTGTAGTAATCTTTGCTCTGAAATTCGGCTTTAGAATCGCAGGAAACATTTATTTTCAAAAGCCATGCAGGAGGAAATAAAAATCAGAAAATAGGTGTCTTTCAATTTTAATTAAGCAAAATCTTCGATAAATTATTATAATTATTTGAAGTTTGTTAAGATATAAAGTTTTACAAATTTGAAAAATATTAAGCACACTATGACTTTAATTGAAGTATTAATTTATAAACCAAAAGTAAATAGTGAAGTTAAAATTGCAAAAAAGTAGTAAAAGTTTTCATTCCTTTAGTGACTTCTTTAATTCTCAAGTTGTCATTAAAGACATTTTGACCTTTTAGAGAGTGGCTAATCTTCTTGTTTTCTTCCAGTTCATTAATTAGCACTAAGTCTCGAATAATCTCAAATTTCATCCCACAGACTGTCAACTCTAATTGTTATCCTTTTTCGTCACGTGAAAAACAATGACACAATGGCAAATCTCTTCAATTCTACCAGATCACTTCATGCTTATTACTTACACTAATAGCCCATTCATGAATATAGATCAACTTTTGAGGAGAAAATTAAAGTTTTGATCAAGAAAGCGATTGTTTTTTCTTAGCATATCTTTCTATTTTTTGCTATCAATAATGCGCAAAGTTCAAACTGAGGAAGTAAGATTGTTCTGATCTGAAATTATTTAGCAATTTACTGTTCACAGTGAATACTTCAAGCTGAGATACTATTTTGAGTGTGAGAATTCATAATTTGCATGATAAAATAGTTTTATCTTTCTTGCAAATCACTTAATTTACATCTATGTAAAATTCATGCTATTTATAGGGGTATTTGTCTATTTTTTTTGTAGAATAGATGAACTGTCAACAAATAAAAACACTTGCATAAATTAAGTAAACTTGTATAGAGATTTAGAATTTTAAATTTAGAGGATTTATTATTTTCTTTAGTCCGTGTACATTTCTATAACGCTTATTGGTATATTTCAATGACTAATTATATTTTAGGTATGGTTCCAAAATCGACGTGCCAAATGGCGTCGACAAGATAGAGCAGAGAGTAGCGCGATTGCAGACTTACCACCTGTACGACACACCACGACGGGAATTCCGTCATGGGCATGGATGACACATCCGGATGACTTTTCCGCTTTCATGCATCCATTTGTCCCACCAGCAAATACTTTATCTGCTCCTGATATGGTATTCACTTGACTTCCTATTGCTTATTTAATAAATGCAATAAAGTAATTGCTTTCTTACTGCTTTACTTTTATATAGCTATACTTTAACTGTTAGCATTGTTGATAACTATCAAATATTTACATCCCAATTCACTCCGAAGAACTTTTTAATAACAAAGTAATATAACAACGACTTGCTTTATAACTTAAAATACAGAGAATTTGTGCAGTAATCTTACAGTCTACAATTTAGTTCAAAATTTTGCAGAAAATTTTTGAAAAATTATTCTTAATTCAAATTAAACTTATTTACACTGATATTGAAAATACAATTTATATTTGCTAATTTTTTTCAATAAACAGATAAAATCCTGTAATTTATGACTGCTAATTACTTTTTCATGAGTATTTCTGACAAAAATATACTTTCTCAGAATAAAAAAAGTTAAAAATTAATACATTTTTTAATAATTTATACAAAAATGATCGACTTCAGGCGATCAAAGGACAGTCTTCAACTTTTTGTTTTGGGTACTTGCCTACTGCCTCCAATACTACTACAGTAAATAATTATACAAACGTTTCAAGTTCAGCAACTCATAGCACATCGTCGTTTTCTGATATCGAACTACAGAATATGATACCAAATGGGCAGAAAAATATTTATGCAAATAATATGATTGTCTGATTTGCATCATAAATGACCATTCGCCTTAGCTTCAATAAAAACATATAAATTTATGTGTTTTAAATTTTGAACTTTTTCTTTTGATGAATATTTTCAATATTTTGAAGGCAATACTGTATCTGTGAGTTTCTTTTTTCAATGCAATTCAAATTTGAATTTAAATAAGAAACTGCACTAAAAATTCAAGCATGCATGCATTAAGAGTGAAAAAAGTTTATTTTAAAATTATTCTGAGAAGTTTAAAAATCTTTTGATAAACGTATTTTTATAAAGCAGTAAGCAGAAGTGAAGTAGCCTAAAACTAAGCAAGTAATTTGAATAAATTGTTTACATTTCACATTACTATTCCACTGCAATATTACTATTTAAGAAATAATTGCGAATTTGAAGAAATTATGTCATCAGCTAAGGTTATTTGCTAGAAAAATTAAGATTTTTCATTAATAAATATCTGCTCAATGTGCGTTGTTTTAATTAATTTGAAATATTAGCAAAGTGTGTGTGTCAAATATAAGGTAGAATAAGCCTTAGTGATACTTTTTTAATTTCTGTAAAAATATTAATAGTAAAAAACGAAAGCAATATGTGTTTTTAGTAAAAAAAGGCATTTATTTTTAAGATAGTTAAGGTTGTATTTGGAACCTAATAGAGAATAATAGAACAAAAAAATGCAACCTCAGACTATTTTACAAAAATGCTCGAAGTTTAGTCAGTTTTATTGATACCATGTTAGTTTCCATCACTTAATTACATAAATTTTAATTTTAAAATTAAAATGATAAAACTTTATTTGTATTTGTGAAATGAAAATGTCTGCAAAACTTGTATTATTAATCTAACATTATCTTCCATCTTACTTATATTTATAAAGTTTAACTTGCAATTAATTATATTCCAGATTAGCACAAACAATTAAAAATTTTGGAAGTGTAGACCACAACATACCATATAATTTAACCTCTGCTAAGCTTCATTATTATGCAATTGAAAAAAGAGATGAATGAAATTTTTTATGCAAATTTCTTACACTTTAAAACTTTGCTGCTAATTAATCGAAATATTACAACATTTCTCTATCACTATTTGTTATGCTTTATCAGATATTGTCCAAATTATCAGTTGTTTCATTTTGTTTGTACTATTTTTCATACCTTCCTGATTTGTATTATTTTAGCAAATATTTTTAGATTAAAAATATGAAAAATAAAATTCAGTGTAATAAGGCGAGTGTAGATCAAGCAAAAATGAAGATAGTACGCATGGATAAACGAATGGCTGTAGTAGTTAAAATTTGACTTCAGTGTGCAGATTACTGCACACAGTAAAACTGCATAATCAGATATTCATTGCATAATTGTATGCATTGCTCGCATTAATTTCTATAAAAATTTATCTATTTTCAAGTTTTATAATAATACTTTTAGAACAAATTATGCATCGCTAAAAATTTTAATATTTTAATAATTACTCAAAGTTAAAATTTTACACATTTTATCATCCACCAGATACTTTTCAATGACTTTATGCATTATTTCATTTAATTGTGATAATTATCAAAAGCTTAGCTTAATTTTATGCTACGATTTCGGTTAACCAAAAGTTATATTTCACTAAAATGCAAACAATTTTTGGAATGAAAAGTAAAATAGCTTAACTTTGGGTTTAGAAATTATTATGCAAGAATAATTGCTCTAAAAAAATAAATAAAAATCCGAAATAAAATTTATAACGATTATTCCATATTAATGCATTTATGCAATTTGTAAAGCGTATTTGCAAGAAAGCAAAAATCTGACTGAAAAAATGTGTTCGAATGGAAAAAAATAGCAAATAAAATGAATGAGACGAGAAGGAAAGTGTTTGGGATTAAATTATGTGTTTAGTTTGCTCTTAAATCGACATTTTATACTTGCAAAACTTACTCTTTACTTTATTACTGTTAATCTTTTAAGTATAACTTTTTTTGTTTCTTACAAATTTTGATATCTTTTTGAAAAACGAATAATTTTAAAAATTTACTTTTTTTAATAATTTTTGCGAATTATTAGTCTTTTCAAGCAAAAGTTTTGTTTAAAATTTTGTAATTTTTTCAAATTTTAATCATTTTAAATTTTGCAAAAAAGAGACTCTCCAAATTTTTTTAAAAATTGCACTTATTTTTTGCACTAACTAGCTATTTATATTTTTTGCCTTTTCTAGCAGTAAAATTAAATAAGTTATTTAAAAAATATTTGCTGTTAAATAAATTTTGACAAATATTAGCGTGACGTACGTTCGTTATTTGAAATAAAAAAAAATAAAGCATTTTAGTTTAGAAATTAGTGCTCATTAAGTTTTATATTATTTTGAGATTTTCACATAAAATCATTTAAAATTTACATATGTTGCATCAAGATTTTTCTTCATTTTAAGCGTTACAAGACTTTACCAGATGTTTTACTCAAACGTATAGGCCATTTGCTCATAACCTTAATTTCCGTAAAATTTGCCTCCGAAAATAATTCAGTTCAGCGTAAAAAAATTAGTAAGCAAATGCAATTAAAGTATATTAAATGGCCCATATTCTCTGTTTTTCGAGCAGTAAAATTTAATTTAAACGTTTTCATATAAATATTTTTAGCGTTATGTCGTCAATTTTCATTTTAATCAAGCATTTAGTGTCGTTCATTTTATTTGTCTAATTTGAGCATCATTCAAATATTTTCAGTGTTCATTATTATTGCTATTATCTAGAAATAATTCTTATTTTTGCGCTTCTTTGGTCACTGAAATAAAAATATGATTTGAATTTTGTCTGAAATTTTAATTTTGAAAGCATTTTTAATTTTTAAATTCATTGCATTCCATAAGCATGTGAGGGACACACGTCAGTCATATCAAATTATATATATTGCTCATTTTTGTTTGTTTTGCTTGCTATTAAAAGTAAAGAAATTAATTATTTAAGACCGAAAATTAATTTTAATTACTCAAAAAGATTTAATTATTTATTAGTGCCAACATTTTGAAATCAGTGAGTATTTTAAGATTACAAATCAAAATAATTGCTCATTTTTGATGTGTGCTAGCACTTATGAAAATTATTCATACTTTCATTGCAGCATTGTCATAATTACTCATAGCTGTAATTGAAATTATGTATCAATGAATAAAAAAAAAGCAATTTATATTGTAATTACTCGAAATTTACATTGACTTTTTTGTAATAAACACTTATTAAAAAGTGAGATTTGAATTATTTATGTGTTTGAACTAGCACTTAAATCAGTCAAGGACACACTTATTAGCACTGACTAAGGTTTTTATCAACAATGGAAAAAATTAATCAGCTTAAGTTGACATTTGTCTGAATATTCGCTGCACATTCCAACAGTCATTGCTGCTTCAAACTTTCACTTCTAAGCTGTTTATTATTAGCTTAATAATAAAAAAATAGTGCACAGATACGAGCAGAGATCCATAAAAAATTAATTACTATTTGAAAAATCATATATATTGGCGAATAATTTATTACACTCTTGTTTTGGATTCACTCAGCGTATCATTTGTTTTGGATTCACCCTGTTCTTGTATTTTATTTCACTTTATTTTCCATTATTTGATCAAAAATAATCTAATAATAATAATAATAAACTTGGTCAAAAAATAAATTAAAAATAAACATAATTCACTTCAAAATTCTTTGTTTATCATCTGTTTTTATATGCATATTTTATGTTGTTCAATCTCTAAATACAATTCCCAAAATATTTTCTTCCAATAATTTTTGATTGTCATGCTAATTGCTTATTATAATTGCTAACAAATTACATGAACATGTTGATAAATTAATTTTAATTTTTGCAGCTTGTTTTATTTTTAAAACTTTGTAAAAATAATCAAGCTTGCCACATTTTCATTCAAAAACTGTTTAAATTTAAATATTTAATAAAAAGAATTTTTTTTAATTATTTGTTTGAATTTTCAAACAATAATTGCTTTTTAATTTTTTGATTGTCTGTGCATTGTTTTTGAGAGAAAATTTAATATTATGACACCAAGAAATAGCTGATTCAAAAATCTGAAAAAAAAATTGTTGAATATATTACTATTAATCAGACAGCATGTATGGAAACTGAAATTCTATCTGTATATCTAACCTCAGATGGAAACGGCTTACTTTGAAAAATCAAACTTTGATGGTTTCTTAGCTATAACTAAAATTATGATGCTTAAAAGTAAGAATTCTTCAAAAAAAATTAACACTATGGAAGCAAATTCAAGGAAACGATCAAATAAATTAATCAATTCATTTCTAAAAATTTTGATTAAAAATTGAATAATTTTATTATAACTTTTTAAAAAAACATTCCAACTAAACGTCAATTAAAGTATGGTAATCTCGAGTGAGAATATGTCATTACGTTACATTTTAAAAAATGACTTACCCTAAAAGTGCTATTTTAAAAAATACGAATATTTTTGTTCATTTAAGTTCTTTTTAATAAATCAATGATGCACCTTTGAATTTCAAATCTGTTGCTACATAAATTACAGAAAAAATCAGAGAAAGTTACTATTTATTAAAAATTTTTAAAATTTATAAAGATGCATAATTACTATCTTTTGTATGATTTTACTCAATGTTTAAGACTGAGATCTAAATTAAATATTAATGTTTAAGACTAAATTAAATATTTTTTCTAACTATTTTTGTGCAATAGATCGAAAAAATTCATAGATAAGTGCAGAAAATTAACTTTGTTCATTACATCTTTTTGAATTTCTCATTTTCAAAATACATTTAAAATACAATGAATAATAGTATTCGAATTAGATAATTGTTATTGCCATCAGTGATATTACAGATTGAATGAATATCCAGTGCTTATTACTCATTTGCTTTCAATTATGCTTTCCACTGCGTCAAGCAATCACTTTTGGTCGGATAACAAGTCGTAAAATGGAACCATCAGTAGCACTTATTCATATTGGTAATTTAATTTTTGCGTTTATTGAAATTAACTGAAAATTAATTAACTAAAATTGAAATTAACTAAAATATAACAATACTACTGCTTAATTACTAAATAATAGTAATTACTAACTAAATAATAAAACAATAAATAAAATATAAATAAGCTCGAAATACACGACGTGTGCGAGGTAATGGCTACACTTATAAGTTGAAAGATGAATACTGCACTGGATCACTTATCTCACGTCAAGTTCTTATCACAGCTGGACATTGTATTCGTGGCAAGTCAGGGTGTGTTCTTCATATTTTACGAATAAACTTTCCATCAATTGATAGATTTATTTATTTATTTATTAAGTTGTTTTTTATTGGTCTGTTTGGTTGTTTATTTTAAGTGATTAATCTCTTAGCAATGCAAAACTAATTTCATACAATTGCTAGCTTAATTACTAATTTAATGTTTACTTATTTAAAACGTTTGAAATAAGAGTCATTTTAGCTCTACTATAATGGTTAATTTCATGGAAAAACAAAAACTGCTACTCTTTCGAACTGTTCAAAAGTATCACATATTCCGACAAGTAGATGTTGTTCTGTTTTCCCGCTTATTTATTTTTAAAAATTTTTTTTGCATATTTTTGAATTATAAATTAATATATTTACGATTATTCTTTTATATTTTGATCAAAAAATTGAAAAAAATATTATTTAAAACTATTATTTAGTTTGGAATTTAGCTTTTGAATCATGAAGTTACTACAACACTAATTATGAATTGGTATTGTTTAATATGTAAAAACTATAAACTAATTAGTTTTCAGTCAGGCGAAGACATAGCTTTAGTTTTACTTAACAAACCAGTGTACTTATGTGATGAAAGTGATCCTGAGCATGAACGTGTAGGAGTTGCACGTTTACCACTTGGCAGCTTACGTTACCGTTGGACTGATAATGAAATTAAATCAGCCAAATGTACAATTTTTGGCTATGGAAAAAATGAAAGTTAGACTATTAATTCATGAAAAAAGTTCACTAACTTTCAGTTTGTACGCTTTATGGTGAATTATTATATTTAATTTCCGAACAAATAAGTAAATAAATTTTATACTTTATAAATACTTGCATCAAAATCATATATTTATTTATGATAACTTTTTGTTTTTGCTTAAAACCAACTTTTTTCCGCTTAATTATGGCAAGAATTTAGAGCGTAGCAAAATTGATTTTCGCTTGCGCAGTATGCAAATAAATTTGAAAATGTCAAAATCTTTGGTTGCTAACCTTAGCAATAACCAGAAAATCTGTCCAGTATGTTATTTTTAAACTTTTTCAGTAAGGTTATTCTATTTGTCCCTTATTAAGTCATATACTATTTTAAAATTATTGAATTTAATAGAGCACAAATATTAATTTGCAGAAGGTTTAATACCAAAATATGATTGGATAACTTAAAAAAGTTTTAATTTCAAAAATAAAATGTCATAGGGTGATAGTGGTGGACCGGTCATTTGCTCACGTGGAGATCAATCATATTTGGTTGGGATTACAACAGCTGTTATCTCAGCACAGAGTTCAAAAATACCTCAACTTTGTGCATTTCGCGCATCTGATGGCAAAGTTAGCTATTTAAATTATTTATACTAATCTTAACAAATTTCAAAAATGTAAATGATAAAATTTCAATAAATAGTCATTACTTGGTCATTTTAATACTTATTCTGATGAATTTTCGATTTTGAAATATTTTTGTAATCATTTTTTGATTTTAGAAACTTATTTTTACAGTATGCCGTGATTACAAGCGCAAAATTTTATGATATTCGACGTGGTATTTCGCAGATCTTAAGATTTCTAAATGTTCATGGGCAGATTAACAATATGTTGAATGATTATCTCAAATGCTTTAATGGAACTTATCGGATATAAAAGTTTTTGTTTGATATAATTAAATACTCTTCACTTTCATTTATAAAATATGTTTGGAATAGTCATTATAATTTGCATTTTTTTTTCGTTGATTACTTCGTAGACTTTTGAAAAAAAAAAGCAAATCATTCAAAAGTATTGAAATAAAAAGATATTCAATTTTGGAAATTTGTCATCAGTTCGAATGAAGATCAGCTTCAGTAATTTCGAATTTTTTCATTCATAACATCAAATATACATTCTTTCAAACAAATTCAATCATTTTTATTTATTTATTTATTTATTTTTAATGTGATTATCGACGTTCAAAGTTTCTACGAGCCTTTAGATAGGCTGCAGTAATTTCGAAGTACGTGTTCTGAGTCTTATTTGGCTTCAAAACCGCCTTCCTCCTAATGGATATGGACACGGTATCTCATAAGAACACAGTAAAGTTAGAAAAGCATAAGTTCACTTTTTTGTTTAATGCAGTGAATCCCACGTCCTAGCTCGTGTCTTGGCAGGTACAGCGTTCTCTAAACATGCAGGTGGACTGTGAATTCCATACTTATTTAGTAACTGCCTGATATCAGTTGCTTTGACAATCCTCTGGTTCCAGTTGGAGCACCCAAGTATAACAGTTTATTATCAAACCTATGATGTGCTTGTTTACTGCCCTGATAAATATCAGAACAGTTTTGGCTAGTCGCTCTATTTTCACCAGTATCTCTGCTCGTACTTTATCATAACTTCTCGGATAAGTGCACTAGCCCTGTCTTCTATTATTTCAACGTATTTATAACTCTTGAGCTCCTTCCAAGTGTCAGTTCATACCTGAGATTAGTGATTGACTTTGTTGGATTCACTTCTAGTCCAAACACATCAAGAAACTTCGATCTCAAAGACCTTGAGATCATCTACAGATAATAAATGGCTATTATGTGCGTTCCTTGATGAGTTGGAATCACCTTGAAGAATTCTTCGTTGCATATTCTTCCCTATAATAGTTTTTCCGTTGTTCTTTAGTACGACTGTCCATCTGGATGTCTATCTCACATCCTTGGTCTTTTTGCGTCAGTACAAGGTACTTCTGCTTTGGAAAAACTAGAAATATGCAGCATGTAGATAAAGCTTAGACACATGTAACGTACGAAGTACGTATTACGTATCTTGACACGCTTTGTTGTCTCCCCTAAAAACGGCTTTTGCAAACATGGACGACCTGTAGTATTAGTGATTGCAGCATTCACTTGTTTTTGCAATGCTTGAAGGCTAATTGTGTACATGAACTTCTCGCAATACAGGGAACGACACAATGGCCATGCTTCTCTCGGCATCCTCCAGAAATGGTCAAGAACCGCCTTCAGCACTTATCCTGGCTAGCTGCTTTTTCTCCGTTCACCTTCCATTTTCATTTCGGACTTCTGATATCCTGACTGACAAGCATCCTTTGTTTAGGCTTCGAATCTTTTTGCAGCAATCTTTTCTTCCGCTTTATTCATACTCTGTGTGTCATTCTTCTTTACATTATTCTTTTGTTTCGTCTTGGTTGCTTCTTGCTTCAGAAGCACTGCAACAAGGCGTTGATGAGCATTGTCGTTATGGTTCATTTCTTCTTTTTGCTTCTTGGTAGTCGCCTGTGATGTGGAAGATCTTTCCGAGCTTTGTTCCTGACCTTTAGATATTTGATCTATTTAAATGCTGGAATGTTCGCTCGTGTTACTACCATTCCACTATTCTGGCATCTTTGACTTCGATACTGTTATGTTTGTTTTTGCAATGGTACCTGGGTCATTTACTTGCCTACTCAAATCATACGTCTTCATAACAGATAATGAAGAACAAAAAAAGGAATAGAAACCAGGAAAAACAAAAAAATATTGCTTCCCTCCAAGATCAGGCGCACTCTGTAGTACACGATTAGCTCAAGCTCAAACTTGGATGATATAGCCAATATATTAAGCATAGATTTATTATGTACTAATTTTGATGCTTTAGAAGAAAAAGACAAAAAAATAAAATTTACCAAAATTATAGCACTTTCTCTTTCTTGCAAAAATAATTTAAATGCAATTTACTAATATGTTTTTGAGCGAAGTAATTGTGTTGGTAAGACTTGCAATATTTTTAGTACAAATAATTCAAAAACAGAAAATGTAATTTTAATCTCACAAAGTTTGTGAGATTTATTGAATTTTGAATGTAAAAATAAAAATGTGAGTGTGTAGGACTAATTTAATTTTTAAAAATCTAAACAAAGTATAGATAACTTAAAGTTACTCATAAATGTGATCAAGTCGAATCAAAATATTACTTAATACAAATAAGTATAGGTATGTTCTCAAAGTAATCTGATCTGATCTGCTTCGAATCTTCACTTTCAACACTTTTAAGAATGAAAAAACTTTCACAATTATAAAACACTGAAAATATTATGCAATGTTCTATTTTATTTTATTGTACTTTCCTTTACTTTAATTCAAATTTGTATTTTAGTTCGGAAAAAAATTTGCATAGACGATAATTTTCCAATTTTGGCTTCAAAAATTTGAAAAAAAATTTTTTTTGAATATTTTTCAGTTCTGCAAATGCTTACAACCAAAATTAATGCACAAACAATCAACTGCATGTGAACTGTAGTGATATTTATTATGTTTGATAGCTAAATTTTGCATAAATGATAAAAATAAATATAAATTAGAATACAACCAATTGTGTAATTAATATGTGACATTGATTGTAATAATCTATAATTAATAACATTTTTAATTAATTTCACCAAAAGATCAATTGTTTGCTTAACTTTTTTCTCCTAAATTTGAATAAATTATTATTTTAGAAGTACTGTATTTATCGCTTTGGTATTCTAGTGTATCATTACAGTGAAGTTTTAGCAAAATCTGTAATCTTTTTATAAATCATTTTAACTTTCTGCCCTTCAAGTAATTTAATTCTTATTCTCAGTCTTTTTTCTCGTAGATATTTTAGAGGAGTATTATATCAAATAAGTCCTTCCATATAATTGATTATCTATTTAGTACGTAAATGTATATAATAAATATTAATATTTATTTGGGACACACATTTTTGCTCTAATTTGTTACACATGCCATTTCTTGTAAAAGAAACATAATTATTATTATTGCTATCTAAGAAATAGCCAACATGGAATTGGAAGACAATCACGAAAAGGTTAGATTATATTAATAAAACTGAATGATTTAATTATCAGATTGCGGTGAACTTATTAAATTTATATTAAATTTACTCTTTTGTAAAATTTTTTTAGATCATTTTTGTAAAAGTTGTATCACTATTAATAATGATTATCAACAATGGTATAATATAAAAATAATTTTTATCAGTCAGTATTTAAGCATAAAAATAATCAGAAGCTTTGTTTCAACTGATGTATCACTTTAAATATTTATCATTTCATTTAAATTACACGCAAAAAAAAAAGCAATTTCTTTTTCTCAAAGTCTTTTTTTCATTAATAATTACTTATACAGTTGCTAATTGTGAATTTTTGCAATTTAGTTTTGGGAAATTTGAAATTTGAAAACTAAGAAATTAAACTCATTTAAATTAATTATTATTAATTGATTTGGTGTGTAATTAAATGAATAGATTAGATTCATACGAAAAAGTACGATATGCAAGAATATATTCCAAAATTATTTGCAAATTTTTAATTTTTCTGCAAAGTTTTTACTAAATATTGAATTTTTTTTATAAAATTGTTGCATAAATAATTATATATTTGTCATTTTAGTGATAAAAATAACTTTTGAGAGTTTGTTAAATCAATTTTATTGCTTTTTTCATTTTTTGCAATATATTTTTAATTTCTTTTCTGTACAATTACTTTGTACTTAAGGATGTTTTATTAATTAATGAAGAATCGAAAGGAATTGAAAATAATAGCATCAACTATAAACAATCAGAATCACAATCAGAAATAGCTGGCTGCTATTTATCGACTCCACCTGATCTTCCAAAATTATATAACCAAGAAAGCGATGAAGAAAAATCACCCTCACCCTTAGTTTGTTCTCCACGTGCAAATGAGAATTGCACTGATCAAAAGACGTCAGAATGTACGTGCTGTGAGAGAATGAATAAGACATTAGCACTTATGATAGATAAATTGCAAATTGTGATAGATGCTGATAGTACTGCTGATGTTGGAGATGAAGCGACGAGTAAAAGTGCTGATACTAAACTAGAAAACAATTTGCAAGAAAGAGCGGCACAGATTCGCACTCTGACTACACTGTTGATGGAATCAAGAAAAGTCAATGTGCGTTCATTTTAGTTAATTCTTTCTTCCAAATAATAATAATTAATAATGATAATAATAAAATAATAATCATATTTTTTTTGTTTTTATTTTGTTTTTGCCCTCTCATCACTTATATAATTTTTGTCCCCACGTAGTGAAAGATTTCCGGTTTCTAATATCAGCTGAATGTCTCTTTGGTGCATTTCATGTAGAATCATAAAAATTCTCAATAATTTATCGATTTATTAATAGATGATCACTACTTCTTGCTAAGGATATTGTATTTGACATATGGTGGCAATAGGAAAAAAATTCCATACATTAATTAATATTAATTTTTTTCAAATGTCAATAATATATTAATAATAGTATTAATATTAAGTTCCAAAGTTTACAAGTAACGTATATTTTTGACTGCTGATTGGTGCTGAAAGTTAATGTCTAAAATATAAATTTAAATTAATAACTTGTCAAACATATCAGAAAAGTAATGGCTCTACAAAAGTGTTAAAATTAAACTAGCTTTGTTTTAATTTTATATTTGCATTTTTTCATTTCTGATAAAGTTTGATCATTTTTGATACATTTTAGTTCTTTGTCCGAATTAAAGTAGTATGTTTTTACTTTATTATTTCTCTGAATTATATTGCAAAGTAATAATTTGAAAGGTGCTTACAGAAAAAACTTATCGAAGAATTAAAAGTGATACGTGGAAAAATATCAGAGCACGAACGAACAAACAAGGAAGTGCGCAATGAATTAGAGGAAGTAAGAAAATTTGAAAATTTAATTTTTAGCTTTTGCTATTTGACCTTTTATAGTAGTTGTAATGAAAGAGAGTTAACAAAAAATTACTTTTTTACTAATATTAAAAATTCAGCTCAAACGTATTTATAAATGAACATATCTTCTTTATACCAATGCTTACAGCTATATTTTTATGCTTACATAGTGGACAAGAGAATGTGTCAAGATGACCTTCAGATGCTTAACTGTTGTCGCCATCAAAAAAGAATCTAAGAGAACGAATAGATAGCAAATTTGATTTTTTGAGTTAGAATACTTGGAAATTATTGCTATGAATGCAATAAGCAACAAAGTATTAACAAAATAAAAGTGTGAGTTGTGATAAAATCTGCTATGTGTAGTTGAAATTTGACATTTGGCATTTCGCTCATTTTTGATATAACTAAATTTCAGTGGAAGCATAAAGCACAATTAGCAGAAAAAGAATCCATGAAATGGAAACGCTCATTAGTAACACATTTAGCGAAACATCGAAGCAGTTCGCAACAAGACAAATCAAAATATATTGCTGAAATTCAAAAATTATCACCTCAAAAATTGCCCGTACGTTTTACAAATTCATATTTTTATATAATATTTGATATGGACAATGTTAATTTATTGTTAAATTTATGCCTGTTGTATCTATCAGAATATTCATATTTTTTTTCTAGTATGGATATAATACATTTAATTTTTATGTTTAATCTGTGAATTTTATATCTTAGTTTGACAGAATACTTAATGACTTGATATTGGTAATGAAAAGCAGTCTCATGTGAGTAATTTTTTAGCAGAATAAATATGACAACAAGGAATTGAAAAAGAAGAAAAAACTTGATAAAAATTGTACAGTACAAGGAAACGAAAGTACAAAAACAATACAGTCCGAGGAATCAAAATATGAAAATATGGAAAACAGTTATGCAGTTAATCAAAGTAGTGCAAAAAGTGAAAATGAAAGGTCAGCAATGACCTTTACAGAAACACCGCAAGTTCTTGCTGCTCCATTAGTGGTCAATTTTCTTGTTATTTAATTTATTTTTTTAATACTAGAATTTTTTTAATTAATAGCATTTTATATTTATAATACTAATATGTCTATTGAATTAAAAATTAATATCACAATAGTTTGTATGTTTAGTGCTTTTTTGTAAGCTTGCTGATTAACGTTTATAATGTTTTTTCTAATTTAAAAAAAATAGCCAAGTAATTATGTAAGAGTAAAAGAGTTAAATTGGAAATAATAAAAAACTCGAATCTTTCCAATTATAGAAGATTCTCTGACTAGTATTAATTGAAATTAGGCTTAAATTTTTAGAATTGTTTAAAAATATTTCAGTTGTAAAGTTGTTTGCTTTTAATCAAAGTAGTTTAGAATGATTCTTCAACTCCTAGTGGAGTCGCAGAAATAGCTTCGAAGATTATAGAACCCGTAAGAAGTATATTGGAAGCTTTCCGTAAACCAAGACGGAGTTCTGAAGTAAAGCAGTTATTAATTTCTAAGAATTCCAGTAGTAATATGCAAATAGTAAACTGCTCATTTTATTAAATTTAGAATAAATAAATTTTAAATTTTTTGCAATTTTTATTCTAATAATATTTTATAATTTCAGATAAATTTCCTTCAACAATTTTGCAATACATTTTAAAATTTTTACTTTTCTTAGTATGTTTTAAATCTGTTGCTTATTATTATAACAGAATTCACAAGACACTATACCTTCTACGGATTTCACGCCTATCAGTGTACACGGATTTGTACTTGAACCTTCTCCATCACAACTGCAAACTAGTAAGCTTTCTGAATCTTTGATTTTTTTGTTTTATATCAATGTGATGCGTCCATGTTCTAAAAATTTTTACTCCTTAACTATTCGGATTTTATTTTTTTGTATCATATCCAGAATAAATTTCAAACAAATCGAAAATGATTAGTAATTATTACATTTCAGCTGCATCAGATGAAAAAATGGAAAAGGTTTACTATAATACAGCAAAAACTGCTAAAGATGCTTCAAGATGCCGACCATCGAATAAATCGTCAAAAGAATCTCAGATGCGTCCCCCATCCCCTTGTGAAGCATCTTAATGCAAAATGTATTTTTCTATAACTGTTTGAGACTTCACTGTATTATTTGTTCCTAATACTGTTTTGACCTGTATTTCCAAGAGTATTGCATAAGTTGTAAAGTATAAAGTATTTCTTGTACGATCTTTACTTCACTCATCAATTTTCATCATTTTGCAATCAGTATTTGACACCAAAAAAATTTGAAAATTTTTATGTACATGACGTTTTGGCCCTACTGATATAAACAAAAAAATGAACAGTTCAGAGCTTTTGAAGTTTGTTTTATTATTTATGCAAAGCAAGATTTGGAAAAAATAATTTCCTTGACCTAATAATAAGTGAACTTTGAACTTCAATAATTATTCATTTATTTAGAAGAGCTAATTATTTTATTGACTGAAATTTGTAACATTTAGAATAATTGATATTTTGGATAATAACATAATTAGCATTCAAGACTTGGAATAAACTTTATTAGTTCTAAAAACAGCAAATTATAGATTGTCTTGTTTCATTTAACAACATAAAATCTAAGAGTAAATAGTTAGTGCTAGAATTTATTGAATCAATTCAAATAGAAACATTTTTGTTAAAAAACGAGTCTTTAAAATACATGACATTCTGTCTTTGAATATTTCAAGAAGAGATTTGTTTTGTAAAGTAGAAATTTCGATTTGCGCAGTAAGCTTCAGTGTTGAAGGAAGGATAAAGAACGAGAATGCATTTTAAAATGGATACTTAATTAAATAAGTCTGAAAAGTTTCTCTAAACTTTTACTTACATAAAAATACTAACTTAAAATTTTTGCATCTCTTAAAAAAATCCAAAAAACAGTCCATTCGCTTTGCTTTTAGATAAAATATAAAAACAAAAACTGATTGCTAATAAAATTTAGACTTTCAGTGCAAATTTTTATTTGCTCAAAATTTTTTTGCTCTATCTGAGAGTTTATCAAACTTTAATATTAAAAGTTTAGATTAAATAACTTTTTATCCTATAAAAGTTTAGAAAAATTTTCTGTTTGAATGCTATAAATAATATTACTTTTTACATTTTTGTTAATTTATATAATTAACAATATAGTCAATAAATAAGAGTTAAAATTTGATTTATAGTAAGTAAAATTCATCGAAATATTTCTAACTCATTAAAAATTAATCCAAAACGCTTAATAATTTACCTACCGTTCTCAACTGCAGTTCTTACGTATAAATATAAATTAGCAATAATTATTTACTATGAATAATAATTTACGTTTTTCACGTTTTCCATTAAAAATTTCAAAAAATTAAAAATTTCTTTGTAGGTTTTTATTTTGATTTTTTGTGAGCAAATTTGAAACGAAATGACACAAAAAGGCGCCATACAACAATAATAATATTTTTGCAAAAACTTCCGAAACAAAATAAATTTAGTATTATTTTTGTTTGTTTATTTTGTGAAAATGAAATATTATTATTTGCAATATTAAAAATTTACAATTTTAAAAATTTTAAAACAGTTTCTTTCGGCAAAATTCTTTTAAATAAAACAAAAAAATTGTATGAATAATTTTTGCATTTCATCAAAAATGCAGCAAAAATAATTTATTAATGCAAAAAATAAATTATTGCAAAAATTTGCTTATTTTTTATTATTTGATATGTTTTTGCAGTATTTTGTAGAATAAAACTTAGCGTAATGTTTGCGTTTGCATTTATTTATTTACTCGCACTATTTTGTTGCAAATAACCGACAATATTATTAATGTTTTTTGCGTAAAAATTGTTTTCTCAATTTCAAAGTGTGGGAAAGAGAAGAAACATCAAAGTTTTTTTTAATTCACGCAAGTTTTTCTTTTCAAATATTTATGATTTTTTAAATTTTTATCTTCATTGGGTTGAAAAAGTTGGATATACATTTAATTTTTTTTTAAACAAATAAGCAAAAAACTAAAATGAACAAAATTATTTGAATAAATAATATTCAAATATTTTTAAAATATTGGTAATTTTATTTTTTAAGTATTAGTTGTTTTGTTTTTTTTTTTTGCTAAGAAATAATATTTTATTATTTTTCTAACTAATATTTTTTGCTAAATTTGCAATTTTTAACTTTTTGATTGCGTAAATTATAATTATAAAATGAGAATACAAATAAAACTTAAGTAAAATGCAAAAATTATTAGTAATAATATTTTAAATTAACTTTTTTTGCATAGTATGAAAGTAACGAAATCAATTTCTTAGCATATGCAAATTGCTAAGCTGTTGAAAATAGTGTAAATTTGTTTATTATGATAATAATTTTTATTGCAGCTTATATCATAGCTTTATTTTGACTAAATAGTGATTAATCATTTATAACGTTTGTTACGATCAACAAGTAAAATAAATACTTCAAATAATTCTTTCTTATTTGCCGTCTTTTTTTTATACAAAAAATAAAAAATAAACAAAAAACATAAAAAAATACAAAAAAACAAAAAGCGAATAAAAAAGAGTAATATTTTCAGTTCTTAAAAGCAGATAAAAAGTAAATTTTTACTAGGTAAGTTGTCAGTATTTAAACCATTTTGTTAGCACGTCAACTATTTGTTATAAAGTAAATTGTTTTTGAATATTTATTAGTCATTTTTGATACAATTCATTCTTGTTTGGTTTGTATTACTGTTCTTACTTTTTATGTCATTGTTTTGTTGCATATTTTTATGCTAATTTCATTTTCATCCAACGATGGTTTTTGTTTATTTTTATTTTTTGCTTACATTATTGTTGTATAATTTTGGCAATTACATTAATTCCATTTATTATAAATGCTTTCAAATACAATACAAAACAATTTAAGTTACTGTATTTTTTTAAAAACAATTAAAAAAAAACTTCTTGGAATAATTTGTATTGCACTAATGTATGCTTTGAGAACTGAAATATTTTTTATTAGAAATGAAATTTTTTTTAATTATATCAAAAAAATTTGTGAAATGTGTGTGATATTTAAAGATTTTTGCTTTTTTATGAGCCTTAGTTTCTTGAAATTTTCATTGAATTACTTAATAATCATTATATTTTTAATCTAATTAGGGATGTTTTAGATGAAATAATCAGATTATTTAATTATCATTTTTTTTAAATCTTCGCCAAATCAGTATAAATTTATTATTAATAAAACAATCAGATTTTTATTAAAATTTCAATTATTTTTGCATAGAAGAGCTGAAAAAGTCCAAATAATCCAAAGAGAAATTCTACAAATTGTTTTCGTTTGTAAAAAGATAATTTTTCACAATGAATTTGTACTGATTAGGCGAAGATTTAAAAAAATGATAATTAAATAATAATGGTAAGTAAAACAGAGAGTGATAAAACTATTCGAGAATACTTTTACACGTAATCATGATATTTAATAAATTGTTGAAATTGTTTAAATTTTTTGAGTTATTACATGCCATAGTTAATTTACGATAGACTAACTTAGTAACTTTATTTATAGGCTAATTTTTACGTGAGCTGCGTCCTGATATTAATATAGTAATGCAAAATGAAATAGTACAGTGTGCTTGGCAAATAATTCATTTTTAGATTAGTGCGCGAGTTGAAAAAAAAGGCAGATTTTATGGATGTGTTTATTTGTTTGTTATTTTGCTGTGGAAGTATTGTAATACCAAAAAGTTATCTCCATTTTTCCTTCAAACATTCAAAAATAAACTCTTTTCTTGTTAAGTATATACTTTTTAATAAAAAAATATTTCTCAAGGATGCAAACTCTCAGATTTGCTTAATTATTTTAGACATTTTAGGAATGAAACTTTTATCCGAAAATGTCTCAGACTAATAAGTCAAAATTTATCACGAATTATATTTGAATAAATGGTTCTGTTGACTGAAAAAAAACTCAGATATTCGACATAATCGCTATTGCAAACTATCGATGGATCAAATCACTTGACCAAACTGGATTAAACCTTTTTTTTTGCATTATTATAGTTTTGAGTTAAGAGTTAAATAAATAAGAGGGACTGCTATCAAAAATTATATGATCTCGAACTGCTTGTAGAACAAATCCATGACAAAATTAAATAAAACTTCTTTAAGTCGCTTAAGCATCTGAAGTATTAATTTAGTATGTATGTTTATTAATTTCACAGCTTACCGTAAAATTTACAGTATGATTTTTGCCTTTACTAATAAAAGTAAGTTAACAAATAATCATAATTTTATCTTTTTAATAATAATTATTATTATTTTACCTAAATTTTTCAATGAATTGACCTTAAAATTATTAAATTTTACTGTCATTTATGTTCGAAAATTTCATTCAAGCAATTTCACTCAGATATATTTATGTTTGTTTACTTTTGTAGTGATTACAATTTCAGAAAATTCATTTCCTTTTTAAGGCAAAACCATTTTTGTTGAAAAGTTAACTAATTGCACTCAATGCTGTGTTTTTTCCAAA